CCCTTCACAATTCTTGACAATTAACGCTTTGCCCATTTAAAAATTTCAAACACAATGTATATTGAATAGTAAAGCTGAAAGACAGTTGTGAATGGAACTATAAAGAAATTCCCATGAAGATGTATCTGAGAGACAGATAATCTTGCTGAAGAATGTATCAGAAGACTTAGAAATTGGAATTTGAGAGAAGCATTGAAGAAAGAGTAGGGCTTCCACAATTGAAATGGCAGAGCAGAGCATTTCTAGTAGTGGGAAGTGCGTCAGTACATCTAAGTTGAAAGGATTGGCAAGAGGAGCCTGATTCCACTGGATGAGAAAAGAAAAGGGAGAAATAAGCCTAGAAAAGTGGAAAGCATCCAAGCTTGGGAAGACTTGAAAAGCTGTTTAATTTTTTCCTTTTCCTTAATTAGAACCATGTAACACTTGTTTTACAAAAAAAAAAAAAAAAAAAGAAAGAAAGAAAAAAAAAAGAAAATTAACACTCTGAGAACTTTGTACTGAAGAATTTACTTTGTTGCTGGAAAATAGTAGCATTTAAATAATTTTTACTTTTCAAGAATGAGCTTTGGCTTTGTCTTATAATTTCTAGACAAAGAATGGTGCTGTTTTCTTTTTATTTATTGTTTTAAACAAGGGTGGTTCAATGAACTGTTCACCACTAACTTGAATGTAACATTGGTGGTATCACTTGGACCATAAGAATTCAGAGCATCTATTCACTGTTTATCCTACAGAGTTCACTCCTCTAAAAAATGGTGAGTACTGTCTAGGCTTGGAAGCATGACTTCCATGTAGAAGCAGTTTTTCAAGAGGCATTCCAGTTTCTTTGCACAGCAAGACTCCTCCTTGCACAGAAAGAGAAATCCAACTAATTATGTACATAATTCCCAGAAATACTGCCTGAATAATGTACCTTAATTTCTTGAAAGATCCTAGTTTCAATGTTTTCAAAAGTACATGCCAATATTATAACAAGGATATACCTCCTAGAAACAGCACATGTACAATCTGAGGAACACAGACATAAAATGTAGGAATATGATTTTTATAATATTTTAGCAGTTGATTCTTGATAAGACTGATGTTAAAAAGTTCTAGCATTAATGATATTAACCACAATAGCACAACATGATTGTATCAAGGTCAACTCTCAAATTTGTTTTGCTATGTTGCTTTTCAGAAATTTAAATATGACTGAGTGTCTAGAAGCTGCTTAACAGTGGTTTTATCATAAATTCTGAATGATAAATGGCTTTCAGACAGTTAAGGATTCCACAATGGGTTCTAATAATACTGAGAGAAAATTTTATGATGAATACAAATCGCCCCTAAACCCCATAATATATCATGCTGAGTAATATCACAATAAGAATGGGGAAGAAAGTGAAGCTTCACACAGCCATATGCTTTTATGGACTTTGATTTGGATTTGTATACTTTTCGCTCATTCCTTCAATCTAACAGTAAATATTATTCTGGAAAATAAGAAAATATCTTAAATATTTCTTCAAAAATCTGATCTGTTAAGAAAAAGAAAATTTTAATACAAGATATTAACATTATAATTTCTACTTAAACTTAGAATAATGATAAAACATACATGCTCTCTTTCAAAAAGATTTTTGTAGATATTCTCATTTGAACTTTATAATAACTCTAAGTTATGAGCATTCAAATTTAATAAAAAAGGAAGCAAGGCATTAAAATGACACTGGCTAGCTTATAGCTTATATTTTTTTAAGATTTATTTATTTCCTAAATGAAAGATCTCCACGAGTGAGATCCCAGTGGAAAGAATGGGACATCAAAGAAGGAGGTACCTTTCTCTGAAGGGAGGAGAGAACTTCCACTTTGACCATAGCCTTGTCTAAATATGATCAGAGTCAGTGAACTCAGGGGGCTTCTATAGCCTTGGCAGCTCATGACAAGAGCCTAGGGTGATTACTGATGCCATAAACAAGAGTGTCAATTTGTTAAGTCAACAACAGGAGTCACTGTGCACTTATTCCTCATGTAGGATCTTTGTCCTTAGTGTGCTGTACATTGAGATTTAATGCTATAACTAGTACTCAAACAGTATTTTTCACTTTATGTTTCTGTGTGGGAGCAAACTGTTGAAATCTTTACTTAATGTATGCTAAACTGATCTTCTGTATATAAAGAGAATCGAAAATGAATCTTGATGTGAATGGAAGAGGGGAGGGAGTGGGAAAGGGGAGGGTTGCAGGTTGGAGGGACGTTGTAGGGGGGAAGCCATTGTAATCCATATTCTGTACTTTGGAAATTTATATTCATTAAATAAAAGTTAAAAAAAAAGATTTATTTATTTATTTGAAAGTCAGAGTTACACAGAGAGAAGAGAGGCAGAGAGAGAGAGGTCTTCTAACCGATGGTTCGCTTCCCAATTGGCCTTAATGCTGGAGCTGCGCTGATCCGAAGCCAGGAGCCAGAAGCTTCTTTTGGGTCTCCCATGCAAGTGCAGGAGCCCAATCTTCTACTTTCCCAGGCCATAGCAGAGCTGGATTGGAAGTGGAGCAACTGAGACTCAAACTGACGCCCATATGGGATGCTGGTGCTTCAGGTCAGGGCCGCTACAGTGCCGGCCCCCTAGCTCATAGTTTAATGAATAATAAAACCAAGAGAAGGAACTTCCATCATTTGTTGAAAGTTGCATAGTAATATTACTAGCTCTGCAAGATGCACATAAATAAATGTGGGGGCCACTGTTCTAATTTTTGCTTGTAAAATGAATCTTATATTGGGGCCGGCACTGTGATGTGCCTGGGAAGGCAGCAGAAGATGGCCCAAGTCCTTGGACTCCTGTACCCATGGGGGAGACCCAGTAGAAACTCCTGGCTCCTGGCTTCTGATCAGCCCAGCTACAGCCTTTGCGGCCATCTGGGGAGTGAACCAACAGGTGGAGGATATAGATATAGATATAGATATAGATATAGATATAGATATAGATATAGATATAGATACAGATATAGATATAGATATAATCTGTCTCTGTCTCTCTGCCTCTGTGTAACTCTGCCTTTCAAATAAATAAATAAATACATCTTTTTAAAAAATGAGCCTTATACTTAGAGATGTTTGATTTTATTTTCCACATGACCTTGTAGGAAATCTGAGAAGGGCTCTTCCAGGCAGTTCTTAACTCATGTTGTCCCAATGCAGATTTCAGCTGTGCCTACAGTCATCTGGGGGCTCAGCTGAGCTAGTGTACCTAAGCTTCGTTCATAGTTTCAGTAGAGACTAGCAGTTGGCTGGAAGCTCAGCCAGGCCCTCTCTGGCACTCCTAGAAAAGGCCTCTCCACTATGGTGTCTCATATAACTTCTTTGAACTCTTAGAACTTCTTAGCCTCTGTCAAAGACTCTCAAGAGAATGGGACTCAGTGTATAACCTTTCCTGATGTAACTTGGGAAATTACGTGGTATCTATTTCATCACACTCCATCTCTTAAAGCAGACCCAAGCTCTCTTTGAAGTCAAGAACACCAAATAATTTGTGGCCTTTTATTTTTTAAGTATCATGGCCTCTAAGGTCATTTTTCTTCTCATTTCATTTGAACCAAATATAACATTTATTAACATATCTGACCTAAGTTTTGATACATTTTCTAATGAAACTCAAAAGAACATGAAGCCAGTTCATTCCTTAGGAGACAAGATAAATGATATATAGTTCCTTCAAGTAACTTTAAGTTAAGGGTTCTGCTTGATTTGCTTTTATGTTACAAATAAAAAAATTTGGTTAAGAAAATGTCGTTCTAAAATCGGTCAAGTCTACACAGAATAACAATAAAAGAGAAGTGGTAATTCCAAAAAGATGAGAAAGAACATAGGACAACCTCACTTGATCAAGTAGTCAGCACAGTACTCTCTGTGAGTGAAACTTGTCTTCTGTGTAATGACAAAAAAGATGATGGGGTAAACTTCTATAATAGTCATAAAATGTTATTACTTTACAATTAATGGCAGTTCACAACATTTTCCTAAATGTAGTGGAAAGAAAGTAGTCACATAATTGCATTTAAAGTACTTCCTCTTACCAATGTTACATGAGTAGTTTTTTCATAGTATATATTTTTCATGACTTCTTAAAAGAATCCTTGTATGTTCATGCACTTCACTTCCTAATCAATAAGTGGTGAGCTTTGCTCTACTTTTGTTTTCCTTGTGCACACATTCAAGTGCTATAGCTTGTCTCAGTGTGCTCTGTGGCCAGAATGTCCTGAACATGCAATATGCCACTCCATCTACCAATTACTTATTAAATTCACCTGATATGTCTAGAAATGTAGATGGGAAAAGCCAACTAAGGGCAACTCAATTTCAGGTATATAGTTTGGCTTTTTTGCAGTAGTTTATGTTTGTGTTCTATGCTAAAATTTCTGAAATTTTTTTGAATTTGATTATTTTGATCCCCACAACCACATTGTGAGGTAGATAGGATTAGACTTTATAATTCATATTTTACTTATAACCACAGAAAGTGTGTAAAGGCCTTATGACTTGCCCACAGAACTCCTAAAAGTAAGCAAAAAGAGAACTAGAACCAGGAATCTAATTCAACCATTACTCTTTCCATCAATCTGCAAACAGGGGAAGGGCAAATGAGACAATACAAAAGAATAATTTTTGAGGTTTGGTTATTTTGCCAGAGTAAGTCTGAACTATTTCAAAAATATAGGTTGTTTGGAAAATCTAAGGTATTTTTCAGGCAAGAAGACACATGGCAGTAAAAATAGAGTTGTGGGGGGTGGGGCAAGGTGAAGTGAAGGAACTGAACTGCATGCACTGGGCAACCTCTCATTAATCCTCATGTATGTAGCCTGTGATGACCAATCTGCTCTTAGTTATTCCTGTGGAATTTTCTGGGTCTAATTAATTAACAAATCTTGTCTCTCAGCTCTTCTCATGCTTCTAAGATTATTTATTTCATTTTCCTGCATAAGATTTGAGAAAGAAATGCAATGAGCTATAAGATATGATTGAAATTAGAAGAGTACTTCAGAAAGTTCATAGAAAAATAAAATTAAAATGTTTATTTTGAGACAAAAATTTTGAAAAGCATGCATTTTTATAATGCGTATTTTTATGAAATTTTATAAGACTCCTTGTATGCTCATATACTTCCCTGCCTAAAGATAATTGGTAAGTTTTGCTCTAGTTTCTTTGTAAGCCTTTGATTTCTGAATTACAGACTCGGTCTTAGTTCAGATAGGCCTAGACTGGTTTGTATTTTCCCACATTTTTCCTATAAGAGAGGATTTGCTCTTCAAATATATAACTCCTATTAGTCTACTACCATCAGCATCTTTATTCAGAGTACTAATATCTTCTTTATTTTAGTATTTTTGTCATATAGGTAAGGATTTAATGTCTCAATACATATTCTGTAGTTTCAATGGAAAGATTGTAATGGTCTGGAAAATAGTTTGGTATTTTGTTTTTTAAGTTCTTAAGTGATTTTCATTGGGAATCACTGCAAAGGATATATTAGCTTGCATTATGTCCCAGCCTTCCCTAACTCCTTTTTGTTAAGCTCCATCTACCACCAACTCACTCTTTAACATGGTCCCTAACTCATTAAATGACCCTCTGACTTTCCCATCTTCAAGCCTTAATCTCGAGTCTCTGCTTACTCCTGACTACACACAAACTCTAAGTTGTCCCATTTTACCTTCTCTTGAAATAATTCTCTTGTCGGCACGGCCTGGCCTCGCCGCAGGGTCCTTCTGCCTCCTCTGGCGCCCAAGCCATGCTCCTGGGCAGTGAACCTCCAAAACGCTCTCCAGGAGATCCTTTGTGTGCTAAAGTTAGAGAACCTTGTTGGTTGCCATATTATTCACATTGCAACTGAGTCAGCACTGGAGGCAGAGTTACAGAGAGAGGAAGAGACAGAGAGAGGTCTTCCTTCTGCTGGTTCATTCCCCAGATGGCTGTAACAGCTGTAGCTGGGCCAATCTGAAGCCACGAGCTTCCTCCAGGTCTCCCACACTGGTACAGGGGCCAAAGGACTTGCGCCACTTGCACTGCATTTCTAGGTGTAAGCAGGGGACTGGATTGGAAGAGGAGCAGCCGGGACTTAAACCAGTGTCTACATGGGATTCTGGTGCCACGGGCAGAGGCTTAGCCTACTACACTACAGTGCTAGTCCCTCCATTTTTTATTAAGTTAAAATAAACAAAGCAAATATAATAATAATAGAATCTTACCTTGAACATGTCAGCCCAGGTCAAAAGTTGTAAAGGTCATGCCAGCAATGGTAAGTTCTTCTGAAGCTAAATAACAATACAAAATATTTTCACAGCATGAAACACATTAACCTATCCATGACATGTATTATTACTTAATGTTTGATTCACTTTAATTGCAAATAAAATCAAACTGGACACTTAAAAAAAAAAAAGAAATGATTCTCTTGTCTCCAGCTTCACTGTCATCAGTTCAGTGGAGGCCATAATCACCTCTTGTCTGGGATGATTCTTTGAGCTGCCTTCCTTCCCCCCAACTTACTTTTATCCCTACATCTTCATTATTGAAGGCATGTCTACCTTACTAAAATGTAGGCCATTTTCCCACTCAGAACTTTCCAGCGGCACTTCATTCCCCATACAGTAAAGTCTTTCCTTCATTAAATGACTTATAAGGCTCTCAGTGATAAGATTCTAATGATTCTCCTACCATACCATTTGTTACACTGCCTTGCAGTGCTTGTTTGACTGTCATTTCTTCTCCATAAGACTACGGAGTTAAAGCTTCCTTATTGCTCTTTCGATATTCAGTACCAACCACAGTAAATAACAGCAGGTGCTCAGTAATTTTGCGGAGTGAATAAATGAATTAACATTAAAATACTTTTCTAAAAGTTAGACTTTTTTTAAGATTATTTATTTATTTATTTGAGAGGTAGAGTTACAGACAGTGAGAGGGGGAGACAGAGAGAAAGGTCTTCCTTCCGTTGGTTCACTCCCCAGATGGCCACAACGGCCGGAGCTGCGCTGATCCGAAGAAGCCAGGAGCCAGGTGCTTCTTCCCAGTCTCCCATGTGGGTGCAGGGGCCCAAGGACTTGGGTCATCTTCTTTTTTTTTTTTTTTTTTTTTTTGACAGGCAGAGTGGACTGTGAGAGAGAGAGAGACAGAGAGAAAGGTCTTCCTTTGCCGTTGGTTCACCCTCCAATGGCTGCCGCAGCCGGCGCACCGCGCTGAAACGATGGCAGGAGCCAGGAGCCAGGAGCCAGGTGCTTTTCCTGGTCTCCCATGGGGTGCAGGGCCCAAGCACTTGGGCCATCCTCCACTGCACTCCCTGGCCACAGCAGAGAGCTGGCTTGGAAGAGGGACACCCGGGACAGAATCCGGTGCCCCGACCCGGACTAGAACCCGGTGTGCCGGCGCCGCTAGTCGGAGGATTAACCTAGTGAGCCGCGGCGCCGGCCTTAGGGTCATCTTCTACTGCTTTCCCAGGGGCCATAGCAGAGAGCTGGATTGGAAGAGAGCAGCCAGGACTAGAACCAGCGCCCATATGGGATGCCAGCGCCGCAGGCGGAAGATTAACCTACTGTGCCACAGCGCCGGCCCCTAAAAGTCAGACTTTTAAGCCACCAAGATGATTAAATGTACTGTATATAGAGTAGACTTGCTTGAACTATCAAAATTGAATTTTGATATGTTATGTTTGATGTGTTATGAATTTTGCTGTGAGTTATAAGCACTCTTTCTTTAAATTTATTATTTTTATTTGTCTAAGAGAAAGAGAACACACAGAAAGATCTCATCAACTGGCTCACTCCCCAAATGTCCACAATAGCTAGGAACACATTCAGCCCTCTCGTGTTGTTGGCACAAACCCAATTGCTTGGGCCATCGCTGCTGCTTCCCAGGGTCTACACTGGCAGGAAGCTGGAATCAAGAGCTGAAGTAATCTGATCCAGCTCCTGGCTGATGGCCTGGGAAAGCAGTAGACGGTGGCCCAAGTGCTTGGGTCCCTGCACCCGCATGGGAGACCTGGAAGAAGCTCCTGGCTCCTGGCTTCAGATAGGCCCAGCTGCCTTGATTGTGGCCATTTGGGAATGAACTAGCAGATGGAAGACCTCTCTATTTCTCCCTCTCTCTCTGTAACTCTGCCTCTCAAGTGAATAAATAAATCTTAAAAAAAAAAAAAAAAGCTGAAGTAAGAATCAAACCTACATACTCAGATTTGGGCTATAGGTATCTTAACTGTTAGGCTAAATACCAGCCCTGGATTGATGACTCTTGAGCCAGACCATCTGGTTTCAGATTTTGCCCTATCACTTCCTTGTGATAAATACAAACGTTATTTAACCTGTATAGGCTTTATTTTTCACATTTGAAAAATTATGATAATAAAATATCTACTCCATGGGGTTATTCCAAGAATTAAATGGATTAACATGTAAAAAAAATTAAAAGTGGGATACAAGTGCTATAAATAGCTAATAATTATTATCATCTAAGTAAGTTATTAAAAGATGTGCTTATTTGAAAGGCAAATAGAGATGGAGGGGAGAAGGGAGATTAGAGAGAGAAAAAGAGAGAGAGGTATCTTTCATCTAATGGTTTACTTCTTTTTTTAACTTTTATTTAATAAATATAAATTTCCAAAGTACAGCTTTTGGATTACAGTGGTTCCCCCCCCCCCATAACTTCCCTCCCACCTGCAACCCTCCCATCTCCCACTCCCTCTCACATTCCATTCACATCAAGATTCATTTTCAATTACCTTTATATACAGAAGATCAATTTAGTGTATACTAAGTAACGATTTCAACAGTTTTCACCCACACAGAAGCACAAAGTGTAAAATACTGTTTGAGTACTAGTTATAGCATTAGTTCACATTGTACAATACATTAAGGACAGAGATCCTACATGGGGAGTAAGTGCACAGTGACTCCTGTTGTTGACTTACCAATTAACACTCTTGTTTATGGTGTGAGTAATCTCCCTAGGCTCTTGTCATGAGTTGCCAAGGCTATGGAAGCCTTTTGAGTTCGCCAACTCCATTCTTTTTTAGACAAGGTCATAGTCAAAGTGGAAGTTCTCCCCTCCCTTCAGAGAAAGGTACCTCCTTCTTCGATGGCCCGTTCTTTCGTTCTTTCCACTGGGATCTCACTCGCAGAGATTTTATTTTATTTTATTTTTTTTTTTTTTTTTGCCAGAGTATCTTGGCTTTCCATGCCTGAAATACTCTCATGGGCTTTTCAGCCAGATCCGAATGCCTTAAGGGCTGATTCTGAGACCAGAGTGCTGTTTAAGACATCTGCCATTCTATGAGTCTGCTGTGTATCCTGCTCCCCATGTTGGATTGTTCTCTCCTTTTTAATTATATCAGTTAGCATTAGCAGACCCTAGTCTTGTTTATGTGATCCCTTTGACACTTAACCCTATCATTATGATCAATTATGAACTGAAACTGATCACTTGGACTAGTGAGATGGCATTGGTACATGCCACCTTGATGGGATTGAATTGTAATCCCCTGGCACGTTTCTGAATCTACCATTTGGGGCAAGTCCAATTGAGCAAGTCCCAAACTGTACATCTCCTCCCTCTCTTATTTCCACTCGTATATTTAACAAGGATCACTTTTCAGTTAAATCTAAACACCTAAGAATAATTGAGTGTTAATTAAAGAGTTCAATAATGGTTTACTTCTCAAGGCCACAATAGTCAGGTCTGGATCAGGCCAAAGCCAGAGCTAGGAACTCAGTCCAAGTCTCCCACATAGGTATCAGGGGTCCAGGCACTTAGGCCAACTTCTAGTACCTTCCTAGGTGCCTTAGCAGAAGCTAGATCAGAAGCAGAGCAGATAGGATAGGAACCAGCACTCTGATGTATGGGATACTGACTGGCAAGTGGTGACTTAATCCATAATGCTAGCCCCTATCTATAAAGGTTTAAATTGGTGTTGTGTAATATGCATTTATATGTAATATTTTCAACACTTAAATATATGCTTTGTTCAATTAAGCTTGAAAGAATAAATAGAAAGAATGACTTTTAATGCAACCCTAAACTCATGCTTGTGTTTAGGTTAGAAGTTTTATTGTAACATCCTCATTTGTACTGGTTAAGATGGTAGCAATGGATCTTAGAATATAATTATGCTTTCTACCTATGTTTAAATTGTCATGAAATAGGCAGCAAGTAGCAGTTAACCCACCTTGTGCACTGAGGTGAATATTTGATAATGAGTAACAAGAAAGTATTTTAGAGAGAGAAAAAAAATGCTTCTGAGCAAACCCAATCTGCCAGGTAAACAGCCAAAGGATAACTTTTCCTCTTAAAGCTAAGGCCATATACCTGTCACCGTATCACTTCCCAGGAGTGAGAAAGTCATAGGTTTTCAAAAAGGTCTTTGTTAGAATGTCGATCATAGGAGATGTTGTGAAAGAGGGAATCAGAGTTGTGTTGCAACAATACAGAAAAAAAGTAAAAAAAAAAAAAAAAAGACTTTGTCTTCAACTACTGCAGTGAATGCAAAATACATTATTGTTTTTAGTTGTAATAAAAATATTTAATAGGACTAATGAACTAACACTAATGACATTTTGAAGTCCCAGTGCATAAAGCTTGTTGTAACTGTCATTAACATACAATCACAAAAATGTTACTCAATTTACAAACAACACAATATCATTGGTTAAGTTTATTGTGGACCTTGAATTATAAAACAAAACAGGATCAATGTCTTAAAACTGTTGACTCTTTAATCACATTCAGTTATCCAGAGGATATTCTATAATTTTATCATTTCAGTTTTATCTCAACTTCAAAATTTACAAGAGTAAAGTAGAAAAAGGATGTATTAAGCAAAATATCAGGGAAGTATTTCTTATTTTCTTAGAATTATCTCTTCTTAACTTCCTGAGGTGTTCATATCTAAGCAGAGACCAAATGTTAATTGACATTTTCCTTTGTAATATATCTCGTATCTCATTATTTTTGCTATTATAGTACTCACTGTAGTCTTGATCCTTATTACTGTCTTATGATTGAATTATTCTGAATCCTCCTATTTTCTCTTATTTCAGTCCATATAGCACACTGTTTATGAGCTAATCTTCATAAGACACATCTTCTGTACTAAAATTCCTCAGTAGTTTTCTATGGGATTAGATCCAGTTTATTAAATGATTGTATCTCATCCCAGTAGCTCAATTTAATATTCAAGATGCTACATTAATTGGCCCCTTAATGTACACTCTGATTTCTCACTGTCCTCAATTTATGGGCTGCATCTACTTAGGTGGTTTCCTTCCTGTCCTCTGCACATGTGCCAGAGGAAGCCCGAGTTTTGTGTCTTCGCTTCAGGGGTCCTCCTTGCATAGACCAACTATCTTATTAATCTAGAGTTTACACTTTCTTTAGGTCTCACCAGCATCCTGTTTTGTGAAGATTATGTAGAAAGTTCTAGCTCTTACCAATGTCTTCCTTTTCTGAATCCCTACAGCATTTCCTGTAACACATTTGGTTAATATTAAGTAAGTCTTCACATTGGTTTCCAGTTGTTTTATTAAAATGAAATATTCTATATTGTGAAATTTGAGTGATCTCTCCCAGCCTGTATGAATACAGTGAAAATGGAAAAAATGATTAGTTCAAATATCTACTGAATTTTAATATGTCCCTGCAGCCAATTCAGACCTTTTTTTGAACAAGTTATCCAAATATATAGATAAGAGATTCCAGAGTAAAGAGAAACAAATTGAAAAGCACATCCTCATCCCTTACTCCTGTGCTGAACCAAATCTCTGCAGGTAGCTCCTTGTATGTATAGCTTTGGTGCAATTTTGTTTCTCAGAGGTATTCAAGTGCCACCTTCCACTTTCAATCCTCACTTTCAACAATAAATGTTCATCAAAAGCACTTAAATTTTTATAATGTTCAACAGAACTCAGTGATATAAAATCAAGCTTTATGTTTGTTGTGGTTTATGATCCCAAACATAGGAACACATGAATAATTTTGGATTGCAGAATTTTGCTTATGTGTCTCAGAATTACATAGCATGCTTTTTTATGAGATTGGTTAAGATAAACAGACAGAAACACTAACCATAATCACTCAGAGTTTCAGGAGAAATAAGATAGCAAGAGTGACCTACAGATGACAAGAAAGACAACATTTTTTTTTTTTATAAGCAGAAGAAGCTAGCATCTATAATAGATTTTTTTTTGACAGGCAGAGTTAGACAGTGAGAGAGAGAGACAGAGAGAAAGGTCTTCTTTCCATTGGTTCTCCCCCACAAAAGGCTGCTACCACCAGTGCACTGCGCCAGTCTGAAGCCAGGAGCCAGGTGCTTCTCCTGGTCTCCCATGCGGGTGCAGGGCCCAAGCACTTGGGCCATCCTCCACTGCACTCCTGGGCCACAGCAGAGAGCTGGACTGGAAGAGAAGCAACCGGGACAGAACCAGTGTCCCAACCAGGACAGGAACCTGGAGTGTTGGTGCTGCAGGGAGAGGATTAGCCTAGTGAGCTGCAGCACCAGCCAGGCAACATATTTTTAATATAATTTACCTTCTAGATAACGTTTTCACATTAATTAGAGAAAAGAATTCTGCAATTTGATACAATTGCATCAAATAGAATGAATTGTCAAATTATAAATTACAATAACTACAAATTTAAGTATATGATTTCTATACAAGTATAAATGTTTGAGAACACTATAGGGGAGATGCAGAGAACAGTTGCCATTTAATGAAAAAAGTATTAGCAGCCCAGAGAAATGCACTGTGCCATGGATAGCTCATGCTCAATTTTGGTAATAGATTGCAAAATTAATTCCAGGACTGATGAATAGTGTTTCCACAGAGAGAATTTAATAAAGGAAACCAAAATAAATGCAACCAAAGTTTTAGTATCTGGATGGCAAGTGCATTCAAGGACTCTGTGTTCACTGTACTAATTAAGGCAGGATGAACTTCAACCTAAATAAGATCACATTGATCTCAAGTCTGAATCACTAAAGAAGTATTTTTTTATTTAAAAGTTATGGAAAGATTTTTTAAATATTATATTTATATTCAGAGACTCAGTTAAAAGCATTGAGGAAATGTTATAGAAAATGTAAGCAAAATATAAAGGACTAAGTTGTTTATAATATCAGCCAAATGCAGTGTGGTAGGAGACAGAAATGCCAAATCAGACTGTGTAAATTCTTCAAGGCAAATATTCAGGGCCCTAATAAAAATAAATCAAAGAATGAATAAGATGTAATGCAGCAACTGAAAACCTGGATATAATCTGAATGTCAGATGCTTGGAAGATTAAAGGGCATATAGAGCATGTGGATGACAAATTCTATAGAAATGACAGAAAAATATATTAGGAGGAAGGGCATCAGACATGGAAAAACAGAAACCATCATGGCATCAAAAATCTGTGTAAAGTATATAATTTGAATTAGTTTATATATAACTTTTAAATAGTGACAATGAAACACATTACAGAAATTGGACAAGGATAAATTATTCTAATCTAGAAATATTGGTTCTGATAGGAAGAAAAGCAAACTTAAAAACTTAGTAGCCATTATAATGTCCAACTTTATCTATTTGACATTTATGAAATCTCTCCTTTGGGGAAGAATAGTTTAGGGAAGTAGAAATGGCTGTAGACTTGGGCCTGAGCAGTGAATAGCAGTCCTTGCTGGGAGTGTCAGTGGATTAAGCAGCAATATACTAAGAATCAATATCTTCTTGGAGAGTGAACACTTTTAAAAAAATCCATCACATGGTTACTCAACTTCAGAAAACAAACAGTGACAAAATACAAGTATTGTAAAGCAGAGTCAATAATCAGCAGGAAATCTGTACACTATTTGAAAACACCCTAGAGCAAACCTAGGAAAAGTGTATGCTATGAATCAAAAAGAACGATTGTGTGACTCCTTTCCCCTACCTCCCTCTGCTTAAATCTTTCTTCTTCTCACCTTCCTGCCTTCCTCTGCTTCTTTCTTTCTTCTGCTATCACTGATCCTTCTTCCCTAACTTCCTACACATGGGAACTCACTTAGAGCTCAGGCAACTGACAAAAAAGAGGCTAGTATTTTTCAGAAACATACCTTTTATTCAAAGATGCAAAGCTTTTCCAAAATACTCTGATGTTGTGGCAGGTGAGGGCTAATCTAGAAATCCCGTCCAGAAATAATTCAAGACATATTACTGTTATTCCAGTTTCTCAAGATGAACCTCTTGAAGTCCTTTTATTCTTCTCTCTTTCAATTCCTTGTATTTCCCTTTTGCCCCAAATCTAGACTGTGATGACAGCAATTTCTGGATCATGTCCTGCAAACCAAAATCAATGTTTTATATTTCCTCAGACACTCAAAACAACAGATGGAAGAGACCTTGAATTTTCACTGTGGAAGGGAAAGCAACTGTGTTTCAAAGACCATAGCACCAAGAGGTCTTTGTTTTAGATTTATTTATTTTATTTTTTTTTTTTTTTGAAAGGCAGGAAAGCAGTTACACACACAGAGAGAGAAAGAGAGTCATCTTCCATCTGCTGATTCACTCTCCCAAAGGCCTCAACGACTGAGGGGCTGGGCAAAGCAGGTCAGGAGCCAGGAGCCAGGAGTCAGGAACTCCATCTGAGTCTCCCATGTGGGTGGCAGGGACCCAAGTACTTGGGCCAGCTTCTGCTGCCTTCGCTGGCACAGTAGCAGGGAGCTGGATTAGAAGCGGAGTAGCTGGAACATGAACTTGTGCTCATATGGGATGTCAGTGTCACAGGCAGCAGCTGAACACACTGCGCCACAACACTAGCCCCAAGAGTTGGGTCTTAACTTGTGCTTGTCCTAACTCCTTTCATTATAGCCTACTTCCCCCCGGTAAGCCTCATCGACTGTTACCTACATTATTACATGTGTTTTTCGACTTTCTGTCTCATCTCCTTTCAACCCATCCTTCACAGTAGTTCCAAAATAACTTCCTCAAGCAAAGTTTTCATATCTGAAGTAATCTGTAAAATCTGATCTGTACTTTCAGAAGAATATGGTAGGTGAGAAAAGGGTCCAACGGAAAATAATTTAAAAAGCAAGAGTTAGATGGATGAAAGTGTGGTCACAGGCTAATTGAATTAAGATTATGGAAGGTCAAAGCTAAGAAGAGATATGACAGAAGCGATAATATTAGAAGGAAGGGTGAGGAGTAAACACAGATACAAGCAGCAGGTCAGGAAAATGCCATGAAGTTGAGAAGGGACACGAGTGGGAGAATTTTGAAAGGTCTACAAGGAAGAGCAGTTGAATAGAGTGGATATAAAACTTCTGGAAAATTTTATGCTTTGAGATGGTAAGTTTAGAAAACATAATTATTTTAAGATGGCTTTGTATGCATTTATAGGTAATGGCATTATAAAGTACTATTCATGGAAGCTTCTGATATTTGAATACACTTTATGTTAAGGTTAATGTCATTGAAGACACTTATATTTTTAAAGGACACTCTTTGTATGGTCAGATAGAACCATATGCAGAATACTAAAGAATCTGCTCTGTAGGGAAAGCCAGCATAGGTTGATTCCAACTGTGATTCTGCCATTTACTAAGGTAGTCAGTTTACATATTCTTTCTTAAGTTCAGTGTCTGATAAATGGAGGAAATGATAATTCCTGCTTCAAAGTATGATTGTAAAGTGAAAAAGATATACATGCATGGGCTGGACACAGTGCCTAGGACATAGTGAATACTCTATCATTGTGAGAAATCTGAGCCTTCTCTATTAGGTGACCATATTCAAGGAAGAAAAGACAATAAAATACCAAATTATGTGCAGATATAATTTTTTTACCAAGGTAGTTTCAAAGTGGAAATAGGCACTTTTACAGGTAAAAGTGCGGTGAGCTCAAATTTATACAGCCTGTTTGTTTCATCTCAGTGGCCTAGTAGAAAATAGAAAGCCTAGCTCTGCAATTGGACATCAAGTGCTTCTGGAAAGCAACACCTTGATGGGACTGGTGCAGTATTGCTTCTTTATGTGATAACTTTCATGTGTTAATAGTTTAATGAATATATTTCTAAAAGTGATCATTTAACAAGTGAAAAGAAGGCCTAACTTTGTGACATAGTGGGTTAAGCCATTCCTTGCAAAGTCTGCATCCATATTGGAGCACTGGTTTGAGTCTCAACTGCATCATTTCCAATCCAACTCCTTGCTACTGTGCCTGGAAAAACAGCAGAGGATGCTCTGAATAATTAGGCCACTGTTACCCTTGTGGGAGGCCTGGATGGAGTTCCTGTCTCCTGATGTTGGCCTGGACCAGCCCTGGCCATTATGGCTACATTAGGAGTGAACCAGTGGATGGAAGATCTCTCTTTCTGTCTCTTTCTCTCTCTCTTCTTTCATTCTCTTTCTGTCACTCTGCCTTTCAAATAAACAACTTTTAAAAAGATGAAAATCTTTGACTTGATTACTAAAAGATTTTTCTGCTCACCCCTCAAATTTATAACTTGTGCTTTTGGTTCTTATTCCACCTTACCAGAGAATAATCATTTCTCTTGGTCCAAAAGTGTCCAGAGAGTAAATTTAGCAAATTTTAATGGAAACTTTAACTGCTTCATGGTCAATAAGGCTATGAAGTTGTTCCCTGTGGCAGCTCTGAAAGACAACTGTGGAAGACCAGTAAAGCTTGAGACATTTATTTCTAGCCATTTCCTTTGCCTGCCTGAAATTCTTCTTCATGTCATCAATCTCTTGATATACTCTTAAAAAATCATTATCTTCCTCTCCTGACCTGGAGGAATTCTCTGTTTCAGACTTTGAGCAGCAGTCACTCTTTGGTGTTACATCAGACAACTTGATAAGAGCTCAGAACTGCAATCTATATGAAGGGAGAAAAGTACTCCCTCTCCCCCCATTCCTATCTTAAGTTCCATATACTAAAGTGTTCAAATGATAGCTTGTGAATAGTTTTATCAACCAGGCTTGCGGGCTAATGCACCCCATGGCCATCAGCTAGATGCATGGATTTTTGACACCAGCTCTCTTGGTGTCATTAGTCATCTGAGACTTCAGGCCTCTTTTGTTTTATTTTTTCAGGGGAAGAGTTTGCTCAGATGTGAGAAAGTTGCAATAAAGGAAAAAAAAAACAGGTTGTCATTTTGGTTTGAACAGGATTTGTCTTCCCCAGTCACACAGACATTTAAATCCCAAAGTTTTATGTTTACAGCTCATGAATTGACTTGATCTAATTGTCATCTGAGAGGTGAATTGGTGGGCCTAGTGCATGGTCTTAAATCACGTGGGGATGGGGTCTTGCCCTTTTTTTTGTTTTGTTTTAAGATTTATTTATCTGAAAGGCAGAGTTACAGAGAGGCAGAGGCAGAGAGAAAAAGAGAAGTCTTCTATTCACTGATTCATTCCCCAGTTGGCCACAACGGCAGGACCGATCTGAAGCCAGGAGCCAGGAGCTTCTTCCGGGTCTTCCACAGGGGTGCAGGGGCCCAAGGACTTGGGCCATCTGCTTTCCCAGGCCATATCAGAGAGCTGGATAGGAAGTAGAGCAACTGAGACATGAACCAGCACCCACATGGGATGCCGGCACTGTAGGTGGCGGTTTTACCCGCTATACCACAGCACTGGCCTTTTTTATTGGTTTATTTATTTATTTTTTTTGAAAGAGTTAGAGCGAGAGAATCTTCCATCTGCTGGTTTCTTCACCAAATGGCTTCAAGGGCCAACACTGGTCCAGACAGAAGTCAAGAACCTGGAATACCATCCAGGTCCCCTACGTGGGTGCAGGGACCCAAGTTCTCAAGTCATCTTTGGCTGCTTTTTTCTAGGCACATTGCCAAGGAATTAGATCCAAAGTAGAGCAAAAATGCAGGCATCACTTTAACCCACTTCATCACAACTCTGGCTTCTAGGGCTTGCTGTTTAAAGGTAGTACTCTCCAGAGCGTTGGATACGTAAACCGAGTGTGCTTCCTGTGTCTCTGCTTTCTGGCTCACCCTGTGATTATTCCTCTACACACATTGACCTCTGCAGGCCTAGGCCTCTACCATACAACAGACTGATGGGGCTGCCCCGTCTTAGACTGCAAGCCTCCAAATTGGAATATGAAATAAACCTTCTTCCCTCCTGAGAGACTTTCTCAGGTATTTTAGTTAAAGTAATGAATAGCAGACTAATACGATTATTTTTAGAAGTTTTGATATTTTAATAGGAAAATATGGCATAAACACAAATTATAATTTTTATAATACTTATTGTTAACCTTTGCTTTGTAGTCTAATTATATGAGGAAATTCTGCCACTTATAGGGAGCTATTGTGTAATTTATATTAACAAGGTTCTTTGTTCACATGTGCCCCAGTATCCTAATCATCAGTACAGGGGCTGGGACTGTGGCGTAGTGGGTAAAGCCACTGCCTGCAGTGCTGGCATCTCATATCGGCGCCAGTTCGATATGAGCAGTCCCAGCTGTTCCACTTCTGATCCTGCTCTTTGCTATGGCCTGGGAAAGCAGTAGAAGATGGCCCAAGTCCTTGGGCCCCTGCAACCACGTGAGAGACCTGGAAGAAGCTTCTGGCTCCTGGCTCCTGGCTTTGGATCGGCACAACTCTGGCCGTTATGGCCAACGGGGGAGTGAGCCAACAAATGGAAGACCTCTCTCTTTCTCTCTGCCTCTCCTTTTCTCTCTGTGTAACTCTGACCTTTAAATAAATAAATAAATGTTTTTTAAAAAATCAAAAGAATAAAATAAATCCTTAATAAACAAGTGGCTTCAAGGCAAAGTGTTATGATGAGTTAAGAAAACATTTTCAGATTTGTCCTTTGTTAGACATTTTTAAATTGTATTGGCATTTCCTATCATGAGTAATATCCAATCTTGATAATTTACATATTTTTGCTACTAGGTGAAACAGCATTTTGAACACTATTTCCATTAAATGAGTGATTAATACAGTATGACATCAATTGATACTTATTCCAAGCTCATCTCTTGATTTTTTTTCTGGAAAAAAAAAAAAAGAAAATTGAGCTGGGATTGTTATTATCATATTTGTCTTTCAGTATAAAGCAAAGAAATAAAGGGAAAAATTCTCAATTATTTGCATAAGCTAACTGACAATTCATGCTGCTTTATTTTTATTGCTTTCTTCAATTGATTTCTGAAAGGTTTCTTAATATGAGATTTGAATGAGTTAGAAGACTCATAGGTAAGTATTAGCACATCAAAGATTTTTGGGAAAAGTTAGAACAATAAAACAAGAAAGAAAGGGACATAGATTGGAAAACAAGTTTAAATACACAAAGAACACAACAATGTTTCTCAACCTTGCTATAGTAAAAACACAGCTTTAAGAGAAAAAAAGTTTTATTTATTTATTTGAAAGGCAGAGCTAGAGAGACAGAGAGAGAGGCC